TCCAAATTTATAGCAAAGTTGACAGTGGACATGTGTTCTGGTGCCTCGTCCTCTTCCACGACCAGACCTTCCACCTGAACGTCCTCGTCCTCTATTCTGACCACTTGAGGTGTGGAACTGACTGAAGTTTTGATACTCTGTTCGACTCTGTTTTCTGGTTTCAGAAACAGAGTCTTCTTCTTCATCTATAACTTCTCGATTTGAGCTTGGAAGACGCTGAGTGAGATTTATAGTTGCTCCTTCAGTCAACAGAGTATCGTTTTGCTTGATTAACAACTGTTCATGAGCTAGTAACTCCACTGTTAGATCTGCAATAGTGCAGTCTCGTTCTCGTCCGTGTATCATCATAACGAAAGAAGTATACTCTGATGGTAATCCTTCAAGAATAGTCTCAGTGTGCTCCTCAATAGAAATAGGCTTCCCAATCGACTTGAGCGAGTCACATAGTGTTTTGATACGTGTTAAGTATTCTTTAATAGTCTTCGAGCCTTTCTTCATAGTTTTCAACTCAGATCTGAGTTGACGAACTCGAGACTTCATGACTCCATGAAAAAGTTTGTGAATATTGTCCCAGGCCTCAAAGGAGTGCTTCACAGGTAGAATATCATTTACAGTAGACTCAGAAATAGTGGATAGGAGCCATGTAAGTAGCATCTGATCTTGATTGAGCCAATCGACATAAGCGGAGTTCAGAATATCATTCTCTCTGTCTTCGTCTGAAACAAACTTGGGAGGAATTTTTGGATTAACAAGAAAACGATGCAATTGGTGTGAAGTAATTACCGGTTCAATGATCTGATTCCAGAAAAGGTAATTATCTTCGGTAAGTTTTGCAGAAATTTGAAGATTGAAGAGAGAAGCTGTCTTGATTTTCATTGAAGTGGACTTTTGTTGAGATCTGGATCTATGTTGAGATCTGGATCTAGGTTGTGATGCGTTCGAGTAGTCAGAAGCGTTCGAATCAGAGTCGGAAGCGGAAGACATGATAGAGATCTAAACGGATCAGGCCCTCAGAGAGAGCTCTGATACCATATTAGAAGAGATCCATTAAAGGAAAGCTTAAGAAAATGAGAGAAAGCGAGAGAAAAGGTTGAGAGAGAAAGAGATGAAGAGAAAGCATTATTCTATTGAATCTGAACCAAATGAATCATTATTACAGAGAGAGAAATGAAGCTAACATTTATATACTAAATGGCTAACAGCTGTAACAGTGGCTAACAGCTGTAACAGCTTATGGTTGACAGCTGTAACAACTTATACAAATAAGTAGCTGTGACTAAAGTAAAGAGTTCTACTGTATATACACTAATACTAAACTACATATCGTGAAAAGTTGTGTAAAGAACTATTTCAATCCAAAAACTTAAGCTATTATGTAAAGGCCACATTAATATTTTTATATTATATTTCTCTAACGTGTTCCTTCAAACAAGAGCTCATTGGGCTTGAAGGTTGTATAATGCACAGACTCTGCCTACCTATACTATAAAACTCCATAATATTTAATTATTTATTAATAGAATGGGCGCCGCTTAATTGCAACTGGGAGACATAGTGAAAGCTCTGATACCAATTGATAGGAACCAAAATGCAGAAATAAGAAATGGAAGAAAATCTTACACGTGTGCATTGATTAAGGCTGGAAATGAAGCACGAGCAATACAGGTCATGGTGGAAAGTTGAGAAAAATACAAAACAGGTAAGGATGCAAGAAGAAAAATATAGGTTTCTGAAGCAATTCAAGAGGCTCTAGGGATCTCTCCCAGTTCTGGTTTCCCAGCCCAAGTCTGTCCCAAATCTCCCACACCCTTCTCCACATGCCTTTGGCTCTATTTAACAAACTTCCCTAACCACCTTGCCACCTCAGTAATGATTATTCCTCCCTTCTAACAGAATTGCATCCTTAAGGTATACGTGTTGTTATCTGGAATATTCCTTAATGCTGTTGAGTCACCCTTCCCTTGGTATCGTATCAATACACTATTGGTCCAAGCCATGCATACACACTAGAGTTCTTATGAGCTAAATCCAATCCTTAGAAGGCAAAAAATTTGCCCGATTTAATTTGAGACCTCAGCCGAATATCCAGTGTTATCAAACTCGGACCGATCATCAACTAGGTCAATAGGTCACCGATTCAACCAATGAGTTACTAGTTCAACAACATAAATTAAATATATATAATAAATATAAAATTAGAAGCATTTTAGCTAATAATTAGAGTTGGTTTAGTGGTAAGTGCTATAAGTTATCTAGGTTCGAATCTCGTTAGCGGCATTTTTCAAGCATTTTGTCCAAAATTTCACAAAACCAGGTTTTTTTAAAAAATTAATGTTTATTTAATACCGGTTTAACTGTTGCATACCAGGTCAAATGCATGACTGATCCAATACCTAAATCAGACCAGTTGGAGGTCCAGTTTACGAGTCAACCGGTCGAACTGGTCGGGTCGAGTCGGATTTTATAACATTGCTAATATATGTTGGAAGAGTGTTGGACTTCTTTATTTCAAATAAAACTCTCCTACCACGTTCAGCCTTTAAGTTAATGCTGAAGTATAATTTGAATTAAATTTGTTAAATCCTAGGAAGCTTTCACTTACTCCAAGATTACAGGCTTACAACCTGCAACTAATTGTTACAACATACTACCATCCCAGTCTTCATCATGCGGACATCAGAATTTTGATTGGCAATTTTTATGAGATTAGTCATGAAGTAATATATATGGGTTTCAAGTGCATCGATTCTCTTGCAATGAATTAATAAGACTAGGTGATCTTAGTCATTTGAAGGCTTTACTGTTTATTTTTCTGATTTAAAAAATGCTTTTATTTTTCCTTTTAAATGATCGATAGGGGACTAAAAGCCTTACTGCACAACACCTATGAACCTAGCATCTGACAAGTCTACACCTAGGCACCGAAAACAATAGATGGAGCATTATTCATAGCTCGTGAAAACATAGGATAGGGAAGGGCCAAATTTGCAAGACTACTGCCAATTAACAAACAACCTCGAAAAAAAAATTACTTTAGGAAAATATTATCTTCAAAGGAGACATGCATCACTTGTGTTTTCCACTAGTAATATAAAAAGTTACACGTAAATTACCAGCATATGCACCAAGACAAACATTTTTCATAAAATTTATTTCATTTTATTTATATATATTTCTTTAAAAAAAATAGTTTCGTAAAAAAAGAGAGAGAGATAAAGGAAAAGAAAAGCATCAGAAGCCAACAAACAAATGAATAAGCAATAAAAACATACCTATTGACAGTAAAAAGTAGTGCTCTGCATCCTCCGGTGTTTGCGCAGCAACAAGGGCAAGTGGTATTACAAAATGGAGTGATGCCTTCTCATGCACATGCCACCCAAAAAGAAAACCACAGGTATAAGCGTAGGCTATCCATCTACTAAACATTTGGGGCTGTGGATTCTTCCAAGCCTTGAGAAGTCAAGGAGATAGAGCAAGCAGAACCATTATAAAAGTCACGAATGGTGTGATCTGCAGATTAGTTAATAGAAAATGAATTCTTCGATGAAACTTTTGAATAATGAAAAGCAAAAAGGTATAACTAAACACAGCTGTTATATTGTAGTCGTAGATTCAAACAACCAGTCATCAAGCTCGGTTGCTGATGTCAATTGAGCAGCAGCATCTTTGAAGTTGCAATGCTTTGATGAAGTTTTAGAATAACGAAAAGTGAAGTGGCAAAACTAAACTCAGCTGTTATATACTTATATCATAGACATAGATTCAAACAACCAATTATCAAGCTCAGTTGCTGGTGTCATCTGGATTTTGAGAAGTTAAAATCAACAAAATTTAATGTTTATCATTCAAATCCAAACTTCAAGGAAAATTATATGTTACAGTATAAAATTTGAAAATGGCTAAAACATCATGGGACTTATTTACAATTTATCCTCTTTGTTTATTATAACAAAATTGAGCATACGAAAAAGCAAGAAAACAAATTAGACTAAACATTAAACAGATTGTGGGCAAAATTAGACACAATAGAACAAAAAACAAGATGGTCCAAATAAAGTAGCAAATCCATAGCACTTCCAATCAGCAAATAATCAAGTTAAATAATCGCTGTACTGTAAAGTGATACCAGACAAACACTGAAGCTTCTGTGAAAAACAAATTTACTAGTAAAGAACAAGCTTGACTCAGCGAAACGCAAAACTCATGAATAATTAGATCGAACATAAATCTAACCCAGAGTCGATGAACAAATATTACTTATAAATAACAAAGGTGTTTCAGAGTTTAACATTGTTTTTAATCAGAGTTTAATCTCATTCTGCTAAGTTGAACGGTTAATTTTTTTTTTATTTTACAATGTCGAACCCTAATTTTCAGTGAATCTAAATTGAACCCAAACGCACCTTGCGGGGATTCTTAATTCATTATTGGATCCACTCGGTTTTTTAGCTACCTCAGCACCTCCACCACCACTGATATCAGGGTCGCTGCCCTCGCCACCAATGTAACTTGATGCGCTTCACATCAATTACAATCATCGTAATGGCAGCGGAGAACATCGGATTCGCTTAATCAAATCAGAGAAAGTTCGAGACAATCGCACTGTGAGCTTTGAGAAATGTGATTTTCAATCAATGTGAAAAAATAAATAAAGAAAATAGAGATATTTCCCTCGCTTGATCAGAGTTCAAACCTGAAGCATATACTAAAAAAAGATATCAAGAGATGACAATTTTAAGTTGAGGTTATATTTACGCGAGGTATTACATTTACTACCCAAATAGTTTACAAACTCTTACAATCATGTCTTAACCATTAATTTTTGTCAATCAACAGTTATCATTTATTATGAATTAATAAATTTGATTTGCGAAAATCTTAACTGTTGATTGATGGAAATCAACGGGTTAAGATATGATTGTAAGAAATTGTAAATATAACATTCTCTTATATTTATCTCATTTTGTATGCAATAACTAATTTTTTTCCCGAAATAAAAGATGGGTGAGTCTCACTTTTTTTTTCCTCTCTTTTTATTTATAGGTCCCACTTATAATCTTGTTTCTATAACATAAAATAACTATTTTCTTACTAATTAAAAAAATTATTTTCCTTTAAGTTTTTAATTATTACTCGATCGTTGGCAACTTGGCGTCTTGGCTGCACATAACAAAGCTTTTTTAATTAATAATAGTTTTCTTATACTTTTATAGAAAATGATAATTAGTATATGAGTTCGCTTTTTCTATAATTACTGTAGATAATTTATTTATATTGAACCTAAAATGACTTCATTTTGAGGCAGAAATCAAGGTATTTTTCTAATTAATTTTTTTTCAGGGTTATAAAAGTTTTTTTTATTATAACTTTTTAATTTTTCAACCCAAAGCGACGTCGTTTTGATAGCGAATATAGATAACTTATCTACATTCACTTTAAAAATATTAAGGGGGCATTTGGTTGAAGAGAAATGTTTTAAATACTAAGGAAATAGAATTGATAGGGAAATGGTAAGAAAGTGAGATAGATAGGAAAATGTAAAAAAAAGTTGTTTGGTGGAGAAAATTTGTACTGGAGAAATTAGGTAACTTTTAAGAAATGTATGTTTGGTTGGAGGTAAGATATAGATGAGAAAATAATCTGAAATTACAAAAATAACCCTGATTGTAAATCTTTTGTTTCGGTGGCATGGTACAACAGAGTTGTCAAATCCCAACGTCCTTAATGTGAAAAAATTGACTCTTTCCAACGACCATAAAAAAGAATACAAATATCTCTGTCTGTGGGCTTGATCTGCACTGCATTGTAATTGCAACAAAAAGAACTCATCATCTGCACTGCATTGTATTAGATTTATTATCTTCCCAATTTTTTTTTGTATGAACAGCATAAATTTGTAATTGCAACAAAAAATAACTCGTAATCTGCATTTGCATTCTGTACTAGATTTATAATCTTCCCAATAAAAAGTTTCAGCTACAAAGAGTTCATATTTAATCCTAATTATTTATGCAGGAAGAAATGGTCAACCATCTCCGAATCTTTCATGGTCAACCAGGCTGAGAATTGCCAAAGGAACAGCTAGGGGTTTGGCCTATCTCCATGAATGCAGTCCAAGAAAATTTGTTCATGGTGACATCAAACCCTCCAACATTCTTCTTGACACAGACTTCCAACCCCAAATTTCTGATTTTGGTCTTAACCGACTGGTCAGCATCATCGCGAACAACCCCTCCTCTGGTGGCTTTACGGGTGGAGCTCTTCCTTACTTGAAGTCATCACAAACAGAGAGAACTAACAACTATAAAGCCCCAGAGGCTCGAGTTTCAGGTTGCAGACCCAAGGGGTACATTCGTCTTTGCCTTTATAAGTGGTGTGGGAAAATGTCGATGGTTAGTGTGAATACCACCTCCGCGAAGGACAACTTCGGCCTGCTTTTTGAGGAGAAAAAGCTATGCAAATACGTTTGACATCAATCACATTTGGGTGGCTAAATCAGGAACTCCTACAACCAAACGTAGCGTGCGTTCTTAGAAATCCATTGATAAGATATATATCATTCTCAACATTTACCTTCAACCAAACGCTCCTAAAGCCTTAGTATGTATGTATGTATATATATATATATATATATAGGGTTTAATAAGAGTTATGTTGTAGGAAAAGTGATTGTGTTATGTTATAGAGATTCGTTTTGCGTGCCAGAGTTTTTTTTTTTTTTTTTGGTTTCAAAAATTGTGGGTCCCACAAAATATTGTGTGTGTAGGAAAGTTGTTGTGGTCATGTTAAATTATAGATACAAAACCCATATATATATATATATATATATATATATACGGGAAAGTTATATTTACAATCTATTTTCATTTACAACTTCTTACAATCATATCTTAACTGTTGATTTCCGTCAATCAACGGTTTAGATTTTTACAAATTAAATTTATTAATTAATTATTAATTCACAATAAATGACAATCGTTGATTGACAGAAATCAACAGTTAAGATATGATTGTAAGAGTTTGTAAACTATTTGGGTTGTAAATATAAACTCTCCCTATATATATATATATATATATATATATATATATATATATATATAAGATTTAATATCTCTCATATTACATGAGATAAATTATACCTCCGTACATATATAAAAAAAGGTAGGATCCATAGTTTTTTGTTCTTTCTTTTCTCACATGACTCATATGGGTCCCACACACTTTCATATATATGTAGAAAATAATTTTATTTACTATATATATATATATATATATGAAAAAAATATTTCTACAGACACTTTAGATAAGGCTATCTACAACTACCTCCAAAAACTACGTTGTTTTGATTAAGGAAGAGTGTTTCTGTAATTTTAGGTGAATTAATGAAGGGTGTAGATAGTCTTATCTAAAGTGGTTGTAAAAATATTTACACCTAAACCCTATATATATATATATATATATATATATATATATATATATATATATATATATATATAATATCTCTCACCATGTGTTTTAATTAATTGCATGTAATTAGGCAATTAATTTTGTATTAGTGGGTTAAATTAGGTAAACTATCTAATTAAATAAGTTAGGGTCACTTTTGAGGTGAAAAGTGCAGTCAGTGAAAATTATGGGATAAAAATGGGTGTAGGCAAAAGTACCCAATATATAAAAGTAAAAGTGAAAATATTCCTAAAAAAATATTTGAGACCTTTGGATAAAGTTTGGTGGTGAATGAAGCTGAATAGATAGATGAGTTTATACCCGGTTAAGATAACTTAAGTTAAGTTAAGTTAAGTGACAAAACATAAACTGAATCCCATTTCATCTTCTCCTTCGCGTGGCTTCTTGAGAGACCAAACCCCATGGTTGTCAAGCTCCAAAACACAACTCTCTTAATAATCAATGGAATCACTTGATGTTTGAAGCAAAGATGCTTGGTTTTTCCTTGTGAGTGTAACCTATAATCCAAAATCTTGAGAAACCAAGTGTGTAGAGAGAAAAGCCCTTGTGGAAGTGGTGACCCATTGTTGATTGGGTGTCTTGGAGCGGTCCATTGCTTGAAGTGAGGCCTGAAATCTCTTCCTTGGGTGATTCTAAGTGAGTTAGTGTTAAGAAATCCTAGTTTCCTTTGAGTTTTGTGGAGGATTGATTTCTTTTTTGGGAAATATTCCAATCGGTTCATTGCTTCGCAATTAATCCGATTCGGAGCGGGTCCAGGATCAAGGCTTTAAACCCCTTCCAAAGGTGGTATTGGGGAGATTCGAACACATGCTCTCACCCCCAGCTGCTTAGCTCCCATGCGCCAACTGAGCTACCACCATTTGGTGGAAGATTGATTTCTAGGTTTTCTATGAAAATGGGTCTTTGAATGAGGTAGTTAGAGCATGATTGAGGCTTAGGCGAAGTTGGAAAAAGTGTTTAGATGATGATTTTAATGGTGAAAATGTATTTGGATGATCATTTTACTCATCTTCATCAAATTTTGAAAACCAGGCCTAGATAGTGTGAATTCTTGCATTTCAAGTAGTGTGACTTAGATTGTTGGTATTGATTGTGTTCGTGATGCTTCTAGGTTGGGGGCAAGTGGACCTATCTTGATTGATCAAGTATTGGAGGAGCCAATGGAGCTTGATCTTGTCACTTGAGGTATTTCAAGTGAAGGTGAGTTCATGACCATATGAGTGATGTATAGAGTTCCTTGTGGTGGTTGTGAATATATGTTAATATTTACATGGTTGAAATTGTACATTGTCAAGTAGGTGATTATTTGGCAAGCTATTGATTATTGCTTAGAGAGCAAACTTGTGGTGTTGGAACCTTGGTGCTTAGACCAAGCATTAGGTAGGAAGCGTTACAAGGTAAGTCTTCGGACCTTGAGTGTTGATCCCTTTATTGTTCCACCAAACCCTGAATGGGTAGTGGTTGTTGATAGTGTATGTAAATGCAACAAAGTAGTTTAATGCTTTGTTATACGTATATGTATGTTTTGGGTGTGACATAGGATGGTGTTTCCCTATGTTTGTATGTTGCAAGACGATGCGTAAATCATACTTGGTAGATTCTCTGGCCAGTAGGACTATTTTGCATCTGAGTATCCTTAGGACAACATGAGAGCTCGAGGGATGTCTCATGGAGATGTTATTACACACTGCATGGATATGTATTTGTTGCATTATTTACGGTTATTGCTATTATACTGTGAGTGAACTATGGGCTGGAGAAATGCTCTAAGGACCCGTGGTTTACTGAGATGTATTCATATATCTTATCCCGTATTGTGGGGACCCCCTTTCAGATACAGATGCTGCAGGAGCCTCTGGTGGCAAATGGCCATATTTGGATTAGATTGATGCATAAGGATATTGCATTACCTTGGTTATGGATGTCATTTTGTAGATCCTATGTATAGGATTTATATTTGAAAGCCATTGATATGTGCACGTCATGTTTTATTTTGGTGGACTTAGCCTATGCTCACCTACTTTGGTGTCTCTTTTGTTGATGGGAGCCAAGAATTTGATCATAGTGTTTTGTACTTAAGTCCTATGGTCATGTATTAAAGGCCCTTGGATATTGTATTTATTGTATACATGATTGAAGGGCATGGATGCCTATTTGATAAGTGTGTGTCTTGAAATAGCAAAGAATCATGTATTGGAGTGATGATATAATGTCTATTAGGTGAAAGAAAACCTTTGGGGTTGAGAATCAATGTAAATTTAAGAATATTATGTCTTGTTATCCATTTTTCATATCCTATATGATAGATTTAGACCCTTGTATCTTAATGGAAATTGTAGATATTTTTCTTAGCTTTCCAACGAGACCAAGATTGCGTCAATCAGATAAGTATAACTCAAGTTACGGATAAAATACTAATGTAGGGCGAAATCTCCAGACCGTGGCGCTACGAGCGCCAAAATTAGCGCTATCAGCGCGGGACCCCTTGTGAAATTCAACACTTTTTCTTCAAAAATTCATATCTTGAGCTACGGTGCTTCGATTTGAGCGCGGTTTGAACCCACGCGTAGCTAACGAAGAAATCTATAACATATTGGAAAATGAAGACCATAGAAACAATATAAAAGTAGTAAACTAAAAAGTGGAGGTGTTTAGTGTTGAATAACGATAAAAATGAATTATTAAGCCTTGTTGGTCTAAGGGGACTACTTGGCACACTATAGTGATAACGTATGATTTAAATAAAATTACATTAGGTGTTCCACACATAGTTTAAGTTATGATTACAGTTATTGGAATTGTTTTAATTATGGATTTGATTTTAAACATCAACGTTTATAAAAAAAAAAGTTTATCCGTACTTTAATTTAATTGTTGTGATTGTAACTGCGCCCAATGTCATACGTAATGTTAACAAACCGGTTCTAGAACGGGGTGTTACATCTATGAGGTAGGATCTTTTGACACTAGTGTCAAATTTCAAATTTGACACCTTATCGGAGAGCTGCTAGATCAAAAAAGATTAATGGTGTCACATGCTTATAAATCAGAGTCGTTGATCTTTTTTGATCTAACGACTCTCAGATGAGATGTCAAACTTTAAATTTGACACTGATGTCAAAGGATCCTACCTCTATATATATATATATATATATATATATATATATATATATGGAGTTGAAAGTTCTTACCTTGGACGTTAGGATATATTACGAGTGAATATTGAGTTTTGGTCTCATAAATAAATAAAGGGGAAATCATAAATAAAACTAACAAGTAATAATGTATTGCACAAGTATTTATAAATTTAGATAAAAGGATTAGTGCTTCTCATGTTATATGAGATAATTTTATTTCCTATACATACATAAAAGTGTTTGTGATTCATATTTTTTTTCTCTTCTCTTCATATAGACTCATATGAGCCCCACATACTTTTATATTTGTAAGAGATAAAATAATATTTTGTCTCCAGCAACATAAAAAATATTAATCCCTTAAAAAAATATAAATTAAAAGATAAAATTATTTAAGAAAAAAATATTAAAATTTAAATTTTAAATTTAATAGAATAAAAAAGGAAAATATGTATAATTAATTTTGAAAAGTAAACATAGAATTTAAAAAAATAGCAGTTAAGAATGACATGTGTGATTCTTTAAAAAACAGTAGACTAAGAAATTAAATCACGTACGAAAAGATGTTTTAATTTAATATATAAGAGTAAATTATTACTTATATTTGGTATTAAAATTTTTATTAGAAAGTTAAAATTAATAAACTCTTTTTGACATAATTTTAAGAAAGGAAAAGTTCACCAATGCCACTGTAGTTTACTTCAGAATCACTTATGCCGTTGTGGTTTTTTTACTTATCACATATGCTCATGTGGTTTGTAAAAGGTATATTTTTTTATCACATATACCCCTGTGATTTCTTATTTTTTACAAAGCACAGGGGCATATGTGATGGGAAAAAACCACAGGGGCATAAATGATTCTGA